TGCATCGATCTGGAACGCCCTGCTGCAGAGCTTCTCCTCGCAGTCAAGGGCTAGGGTTATCCAGCTCCGCTTGGCCATCGAGCACACACGCAAGGGGGATATGTCTGCTGCTGCCTACTACACCAAGATGGTGAGTATTGCTGACGAGCTGGCAGCCGCAGGCAAGCCCCTGGATGAAGATGACATCGTCGATCACATCCTGCAAGGCCTCCTCCACGACCCCGACTACAGTGGCTTCGTCTCGGCCATCTCCACCCGCACCGCCACCGAGCAGCCGATCGGCCTCAGCGAGCTCTTCTCTCTGCTGCTGTCGGCTGAAGCCCGCATCGCCGCCCAAAACACCGCTCTCCACTCCGTAAACCTGGCGGCAAGGGGTGGAGGCCGCGGCAACTCAAGGGGCGGCGGCAACAGTGGTGGCTCCCGCGTCTACGTCAACAACAACGGGGGCGCCCACTACCCTGACAACCACGGTGGCGGCGGCTTTGGAGGCGGCCCGCGGCAAGGGGGTGGTGACCGCGGTGACCGTGGTGACCGCGAACGCGAGAAGTGCCAGATTTGCAAGCAAGAAGGGCATGGCGCATGGCACTGCAAAAAACGCTACGATCGCAACTTCAACAACAACGTCCGCAACCCCGCAGGAGGCGGTGGTGGCGGAGGACGCGGCGGCGGTGGAGGACACCGCTCGGCCAATGCTGCCCACGCCTATGGTGTCGGTACCAATTGGTATCCTGACACCGGTGCAACTGATCACGTGACGGGAGAACTGGAGAAACTTGCGGTTCACGATCGCTACACCGGCACGGAGCAAATCCACACTGCGAGTGGTCAAGGTATGGACATTGCTCACATTGGTCATTCAGTTTTTACTACCCCTCACGGCTCTTTGCGTCTAAATAATATCATCCATGCTCCTCAAGCCGGCCAAAGTCTACTTTCTGCCTATAAACTTATCAAAGATAACAATGCCTTCTTGGAAGTTTACCCTGAATTTTTTTTGTTAAGGATCGGGTCACTCGGAGAACCGTTCTTCAAAACAGGACTAGGGGCCGCCTGTTCCCTATCTCTGGCCGCCACGATGTCCCTCCCCGACAAGCTCTCAGTGTGGTCAAGCCATCCACTTCAAGATGGCACAAACGTCTAGGGCATCCTGCTTTTCCGGTGGTCCAGAAAATTCTTCGAGATTTTAGTCTTCCAGTATCAAATAAGCAAGATCATCTCCTTGTGTGTTATTCGTGTCAGATGGCCCAGAGCCATCAACTTCCATATTCTCGCTCTACTAGTGAATCAAAGGCTCCTTTAGAGCTCATTTTTTCAGATGTTTGGGGTCCTGGACCCGTTTCTGTTGGCAGACAAAAATACTATGTCACCTTTATTGATGATTTTAGTAAGTTCAGTTGGATCTATTTGCTTAAGAATAAGTCTGATGTGTTTGCAAAGTTTAATCTCTTTCAACAACATGTTGAACGTCTCTTTGATCGCAAAATTCTTGCCATGCAAACGGACTGGGGAGGTGAATATCAAAAACTTAAATCATTTTTTGAACGCATAGGCATTACTCACCATGTCTCCTGTCCACATGCTCATCAGCAAAACGGATCCGCTGAACGCAAACACCGTCATATCGTGGAGGTTGGTCTCTCCCTTCTTGCTCATGCCTACATGCCTCTCAAATTTTGGGACGAGGCATTTCTCACGGCGGTGTACCTCATAAATCGTGTTCCTAGCAAGGTCATCAATAACTAGACCCCTCTTGAGCGTCTTTTTGGCACGAAACCAAACTACACTTTTCTTCGCATATTTGGTTGTGCTGTCTGGCCCAACCTTCGCCCATTCAATAAACATAAGCTTGAGTTCCGCTCAAAACAATGTGTATTTCTTGGGTACAGCCTTCACAAAGGCTACAAGTGTCTGGATGTTGCCACAGGTCGTATCTACGTCTCTCGTGATGTGGTTTTCGATGAGCAAATTTTTCCATTTGCAAAACTTCACCCTAACGCCGGCCCACAACTTCGTAAAGAGCTTGTTCTTCTTCCCTCCCACCTTCTGCCATCACCAAACTTTGTTCTCAGGGGTGTAGAAGATGCTGATGATCATGTGTCAATGCCTCATAATTCCTTTGATGAAAACTCTAACGAAAGTGTGCAGGAAAACATTGCAAACATGGAAGAATCTTCTCATGATTTTATGCAAGCCACGGACTCTTCTTCCAGCCGCAGAGGATCCGCCTGCTGATCCCGGAGCAGATCAGAGCGGGATCCCCTTGGGACCAGCTGGAGCAGGTACGTCAGGCGGATCGTCTGCGGGATCCGCGCCACCGTCTGCCAGGGGACTAGGTGGGTCCCCCCTGCATGGCATCGACCAGCCACGAGCCGCGCCTGCGCCCCCACGAGGCGCACCTGTCACGGGACCGGGTGGGTCCCCCCTGCATGGAGCTGGTCGGCCCCGAGCCGCGCCACAGGCCGCGCCTGCCACGGGATTCGGTGGGTCCCCCTTCGGTCGGTCCTCCTCGGGAACGAGCGCGCCGACACCTGACGCGTCGCTGGCGGAGCCAAGTGGCAGTTCGGGAGAGGCTGGCGCGCGCGCCGAAGCTGATCTCGCTGCGCCCACACAGGAGTTCCAACAGGAGCTCTCGCCAGGATTTTCTACGAGACTCTGGATCCGTTGTTTCTTCTTCGTCAAATCGACTTCATCAACATGTTTCACGTCCCGCCCCGCCTCCTCCTCCACGGTCTCATACCAGGTCACAGAGTGGTATTATCAAGCCTAAGCTTTATAACGATGGTTGTGTCCGTTGGGGTTCCTCTTGTGCCACAGGTGAACCGCAAAATCTGGGAGAAGCACTTGGAGAACGTCGGTGGAAGGAGGCCATGGATGAGGAATATGATGCTCTTATGAAAAACAAAACATGGCGTTTGGTGCCTCCAGTCAAGGGGAGGAATATCATTGACTGTAAGTGGGTCTACAAGGTCAAACAGAAATCTGACGGTACTATTGACAGGTACAAGGCACGCTTGGTTGCAAAAGGATTTAAGCAAAGGTATGGAATTGACTACGAGGACACGTTCAGTCCTGTAGTCAAAGCAGCCACTATCAGATTAATCCTCTCAATTGCAGTGTCTAGAAACTGGTGCATTCGACAACTAGATGTAAAGAACGCGTTCTTGCACGGTGTTCTGGAAGAGGAAGTGTTCATGAAACAACCCCCTGGGTATGAAAGCTCAAAATTTCCACGCCACGTTTGCAAACTTGATAAGGCACTATATGGATTAAAACAGGCACCTAGAGCTTGGTATTCTCGACTGTCGTCAAAGTTACAATCTCTAGGGTTCTCTCCTTCAAAGGGGGACACCTCACTATTCTTTTATCATCGGCATAGGATTACCATTTTTATGCTCATTTATGTTGATGATATTGTGGTTACAAGCTCTTCGCCTACTGCTGTTGAAGCTCTCCTCAAGGACTTGGGCAAAGAATTTGCGCTTAAGGACCTTGGAAGTCTTCACTTCTTTCTTGGAATCGAGGTAAAACCTGTTAAAGAAGGAATTGTGCTGTCACAAGGAAAGTATGTGCAAGAAATACTTCAGAAAGTAGGCATGAAAGGTTGTAAGCCTTCATCCACGCCTTTGTCTACTTCTGAAAAACTATCTTTGTATGATGGAGAAGCACTTAGAGCAGAGGATGTAACCAGGTATAGGAGCATTGTAGGAGCACTTCAATATTTGACTTTGCTAGGCCAGATATTTCTTATTCAGTAAACAAAGTTTGTCAGTTCTTACATGCTCCTACTAGTGTGCATTGGACAGCAGTCAAGAGGATACTTCGATATCTTTAGGGAACCAAGGATCATGGTCTCAAACTTGGTAAGTCAGACTCGATGCTAGTAAGTGCCTTCTCAGATGCAGATTGGGCAGGCTGTCCTGATGACAGAAGGTCAACAGGAGGCTTTGCAGTATTTCTTGGAGGAAATTTGATATCTTGGTGTGCTCGCAAGCAACCCACTGTTTCCAGGTCAAGCACAGAGGCTGAGTATAAGGCTTTAGCCAATGCCACTGCAGAGATTATTTGGGTTCAGAATCGGCTGACAGAATTGGGTGTTTATCATCCAAAGGCTGCGTCACTTTGGTGTGACAATCTTGGTGCCACATATTTATCTGCTAATCCTATTTTCCATGCCAGGACTAAGCATATTGAAATAGATTATCATTTTGTTCGCGAAAGGGTGGCAGATAAGTTGTTGAATATTCGGTTCATACCTACTGGAGATCAAGTTGCAGATGGATTCACTAAGCCTCTTACTCTTAAGCAGCTTGAGGCCTTTAGACGCAATCTCAACTTGGATAGTTGTGATTGAGGGGGAGTGTTAAACATTGTATTTGCGTATATACGCGGTGTATGTATAAACCGTGTATATTACGTCATATGTGTGCGTGCGTGTGTATCGAGTCAGGTTGTTGGGCATGTAGGATCGATCTCCTCTCGTTGTAGTTATCCTGTAGATAATGAGATCGATCCTAACCTCCTGTAACCTCCTGCGCATCTTGTACCTGTTGCCCTACTTAACACGTACGCGTCCCTGCCGCATTGGCATACGCTTAACCCTCTTTTCACAAGAATTGATTGGGGATAGGCATTTGGCACGGCACCAATCAAAAAGTTGTTGTGCTCGGGTCTGCCATTCACATGATCCAACCAGGCCCATTGATTGGGCAATGTACCTTTTCTCCGGATCCCCCACCCAGCTGCTCACTCATCGAGACACCTGTGCTGTGCCTGTGCTCACATTGTCACATGTGTACAATCGTCAACAAATCCAAAGCATCCTCCCAGTCGCCGAATCCAAAACATATTTAGCGTTCGCCTCTGTTTCTTCCTAAGCTCAGAGATCCAAAGCATCCTCCTTCTTCTGGGTAAGTAAGCTGGGGATTCCTCCTTTCTTGACTGATGCTGCACCGAGGATCTTACAGGGATTCATCTCTTTCTTGTTCAGGGTAAATTGGAAGATGTCTACCAAGTTGATAGCGCTCTACATTACAGTTTGCTCTGTTCTGTTTATCATATCCAAGATGCTCATCTCCTTCCTCTGCTACAAGAAGTGGGCTCGCAAGAAGAGGATCATCGAGACCAGCCTGACAGGTAACAAGAGTTCTTCCCTCCCAAATGAGTTCTTGGATATCTTCTCTCTCTTTTTTTTCTCTTTTGGGAAAAATAAATCGATGGATCACTCTTAAGGTGGCAAGCTGGTGATCTTCCGGTCGGCGGCGATGCAGTCGCTGAGCCCCAAGGCCTTCATGAGGATGATCATGGGGCTGTCAAGCAAGGACATCATCGGCTCCGGAGGGTACGGGACGGTGTACATGCTGAGGCTGGACGAGAAGTCGGCGTTCGCCATCAAGAAGCTGAGCAGGGGGAGCGCGGAGATGGACCGCGGGTTCGAGCGGGAGCTGGACACCATGGGCGACATCAAGCACAGGAACATCGTCCCTCTCTGCGGCTACTACGCGGCGCCTCACTTCAACCTGCTCATCTACGAGCTCATGCCCAACGGCAGCCTGGACACCATCCTCCACGGCAAGGAGGAGAAGAAGCAGGCCCTCCTGGACTGGCCGGTGAGGTACAAGATCGCGCTGGGCGTGGCGCGGGGGCTGTCCTACCTCCACCACGACTGCATACCGCACGTCATCCACCGCGACATCAAGTCCAGCAACATACTCCTCGACCACAACATGGAGGCCAGGGTGTCGGACTTCGGCCTCGCCACGCTCATGAAGCCCAACGAGAGCCACGTCACCACCGTCGTTGCCGGCACCTTCGGCTACCTCGCCCCAGGTCCGCAGGCTGCCCATCAAAATCTCAATCTATATATTAACCTTGAGAATTGAGATCTACTCCGTATATCATCATGCATGTGTGTTTGCTGATGGGTGGTGTGCTTGCTGCCTCAGAGTACTTCGAGACAGGGAGGGCTACGACCAAAGGCGATGTGTACAGCTACGGCGTCGTCTTGCTTGAGCTCCTCACGGGGAAGAGGCCGACGGACGAATCCTTCCTTGAAAACGGCACACGGCTGGTGACCTGGGTAAGCATCCACCTCCCATTCCTCCTGTACTCACACCAATGACTCAATTAAAATCTGAATGATCGGTTGTGCAAGATTTGATGCGATGAGTAGAATTATTTGGCTTAAATCTCTAGAATGATCGTTGTATGCAGTGACCAATTGATATGCTGCTGAAATAACCAACCAACCTTAGCTATCAACTACTTAGCAATCTGTACTCTGTAGTTGTACCCATCAGAAAACTGATGGGCAGTGGCCGTCACCATGTCACCACGAGGTCCGCAATGGCCCAATGTACACCCAATCTCCCATGTCAAGATCAACGAGGACTAGTGCATTACTAGCGCAGTACAGTGCTACCTAACAGTAGCATGGTCTGATAATGGACATGTACCCTTTTTGTAGATGTGAAGTAAGGATGATGAATTAATTGGGCATGCATCCCCGGCCGTGTCAAGTGCTGACATCAGTTCATCTGTTACTGTTTTCAGGTCAAGGAAACCATGGAGGAGAAGAGAGAGGAGCACGCCGTCGACGGCGCTCTGGCGTCTTTTCCGGCGGAGGAAGTCAAGTTCGTGTTCACCGTGGCGGAGAAGTGCCTGGAGTCTGATCCTCGCGATAGGCCAACCATGGTGCAAGTCGCCAAGATGCTTGAGCAAGCAAAGCTGGCATAGTACAGGCTCATTAACGCGCAGTATGTGTAACTAGGTGCTTAATTGGTTGCAGACAATTTTTCCACCCAACGTGTTGCTTTTGCGAAATTCATGCTGGGTTCTGCACAAAATTTAGAAGATTTTTGTCGGCAAACGCTACCAATGGTGTTGTATAAGAAGCAAAATTTATTGTTTGGGTTTGTAATTGAATTTGTACAAACAATTTTATACTTATCATCCAATACTGCTGGGTAGACATAGGTTCAGTGCATCCAAGTAAGAATCATGATGTAAGGAAACTTGATGACCTCTAGTTGTACCATATAAATTATTTTGGAAAATGAGAGTATCCATGACAACTTTGTGCATTGTGAGGACCCAAGGAGGATCTCACAGGAATTTGAGAGAGAAAGGGACGAACGGGAAGAGATTGCAGAGAAAGGGGAGAGAAACAGAGCACAAGGGGAGAGATAGATTCAGACGTTTCTATTCTTCAGAGCTGTCCGGTTCCTTACACAATAGTGGTATATAAACCCACGCACGCCACGCCCTACACACAGTACAGCTAGCCCCACTGCCAGTCACACATTCTTGTCATCCACCTGTCCAGTGGACCCAGGGTCCCCCTGTCGGTTGTCCGGCGACGTCGTTAGAGATGGAGCCGTGACATTCTCCCTTGAGTTTGATCCTCCTCCCAAATTGCAGCTGACGAAAAACGAGCGCGCAACACATAATAATCTTCCCAGGTTGCATGATCAGCGGCGATACCGTGCCATTGAACTTTGATCTGTGGAATAGCATTGTTTCCCTTCTTTGCCATACGTCGATCCAGCACAACCTCTGGTTGGAGAGTGACAACCAATAAATCAGGTGGGTCTGGTAGCTCCTGAAACACTGGAGAGTAGTTGGCAGTGAAGGTTTTTAGCTGGGAAACGTGAAACACTGGATGGATCAGACTTATATCAGGAAAATCCAGACGATAAGCGGCAGCACCCAGCCGAGCAGTAACTCTGAATGGCCCAAAATATTTGAGAGCTAACTTGTGGCAGGGACGATTGAACAAGGATGATTGTGCATAGGGCTGTAACTTGAGTAAAACTTCCTCACCCACTGCAAACTCTTGATCTTGATGATGTTTATCTGCCTGAGACTTGATTCACTATTGAGCACGCAGTAAATTCTCATGCAACATTGCTAGAAAATCCTCACGATCGGCTGCGAATTCCGCAAGAGATGTAGGCAGATCACCAGCATCAATTGGCATAGTACCAAAATTAGGATCCATACCATACAGAGCCTTGAACGGGGTGTTCCCCAGTGAGGTGTGATATGAGGAATTGTACCAAAATTCAGCCATTGGTAACCAACGCTTCCATCTAGCTGGACTGTCATGAACAACACACTGCAGATACTGCTCTAAGCATTTGTTTACACACTCCGATTGGCCATCCGTTTGTGGGTGGTAGGCTATAGAGTAGCACAGTTAAGTGCCAATTTCCGTGAACAATTTCTTTCAGAAACTGCTAGTAAAAACTTTATCATGATCGGAGACAATGGAGGCTGGCACGCCATGAAGACGAACAATAGTTGCCACTGAATGTGTTGTATACAGATGTTTAAGAGGAAGGAAATGGGCGTACTTGGTAAAATGATCGACCACCACCAAAATCACCTCAAATCCCTCTGACTTGGGCAACCCATCAATGAAATCCGTGGTTATGTCTTTCCATGGGCGATGAGGAACTGGGAGGGGTTGAAGCAGACCACCAGACACTGTTCTTTCATGTTTTGCCTGCTGACAAACTTGGCATTGTTGAACCCAGTCCGCCACCTGTTTCTTTAGGCCTACCCAATGAAAAAGGTTGAACGCCCGCCAGTAGGTAGCCATGACCCCAGAATGACCCCAACTGTGCTAGAATGCAAAGCGATAATCAATTTGGTTTGTAAGGCAAAGTTGTTGGGTATCCAGAGGTGACCATTGTAGCGAATCAGTCCTTGGTCCAGGGAATGACCATGTTCATCAGGACTGTGTACAGCCAGCTTTGCAAGTAACTACATGGCCACAAAATCAGTTTGATAAGCATTGAGCACCTCCTGCATCCAAATGGGTTGACACACGGAGATGGCAAAAATAGTATACACCTGACGGACACGAGACAGTGCATCGGCAACATTATTGTCAGAACCCTTGCGATAGCGGAACTGGAACTGGAGACCCACCATTTTGGCCATAGCTTTACATTGTAGATCCGAGGTCAGTTGTTGATCCTGTAAATGGCACAAACTCTTATGATCAGTGACAATGGTAAAGATACCTCGCTGGATATATGGCCGCCACTTGTCAATCGCCATTATGACAGCTAAAAATTCCTTTTCATAAACTGATAGTTTCTGATTTTTGACACCCAAGGATCTACTAAGATAAGCAATGGGATGATTGTCCTGGGAGAGAATAGCACCAATGCCTGTGGATGAAACATATGTTTCCACTGCAAAAGGTTTACTAAAATCTGGCAAGGCTAACACTAGAGCTTTGGTCATAGCTGTTTTCAGGGTTTGAAAAAGCTTCAGTAGGTTGTTCAATCCATAGAAAGCCCTTCTTTGTCAGCAATTGAGTCAAGGGTTTGGCCATATTCCATAATTCCAAACAAACTTTCGATAGCAACCTGTTAATCCAAGGAATCCCCATAGTTCAGTAGCATTGTTAGGCTGGGGCCATTGTTCCATAGCCCGAGCCTTTTCTGGATCTGTAGCCACACCTTGTGAGGAAATCACATGGCCCAAGTATTGAATTTCCGTCTGAGAAAAAGAGCATTTGGAAGGCTTCACAAACAACTGATGCTCACGCAAGGTTTGCAGTACCCAGCGGAGATGCTCCAAATGTTCCTCCCAAGTGGTACTGAAAACCAGAATGTCATCGAGAAACATGATGACATACTTGCGATTAGCTGGAGCTAAAATGTTGTTCATTAAGCACTGAAATGTTGGTGGTCCATTGGTCACCCCAAACGGCATAACATGAAATCGGAAGTGTCCTGAATATGTATCGAATGCAGTCTTCTCCTCATCCGATTCATGCATACGGATTTGGTGATAACCTGCCCTGAGGTCCAGCTTGGAGAAAAACTTTGATCCTGCCAGTTCATCGAGTAATTCGTCGACAATAGGAAGAGGGAATTTGTTCTTCATAGTGATGGCGTTGGATTTTTGGTAATCCACGCAGAAACGCCAGCTACCATGTTTTTTTCTTAACTAGAAGTATTGGAGAGGCGTACAGGCTCATGCTAGGTTTCACAATCCCTGCCTTGAGCATATCTGCCACTTGTCGTTCAACCTCATCTTTCTGTTGTGGCGAGTGTCGATAAGGCCGAGAGTTAGGAGGATTATGACCCACTTCCAAGGTAATTGCATGATCATACCCTCTGTGTGGAGGCAGGTCAGTTGGAGTTTTGAACACATCTTGGAATTCTATCAAAACTGCAACAAGATCTCCTGGATGCGAGCCCGACTCAGAAACTGCATCACCGGAAGAAGGATCAACCACTTACATAGCCCAAACATCATTGCCATGCAGAGCTTTGTCCAGTTGCTCTATTGACACAGGTTGCAATTGCGTAGGGGAAATAGGCAGAACACCTTGAAGGGAAAACATAGCATCACCATGTGCAAACTATGACGATTTTCCCTCCCAATCACTATTCATCGGACTGTGACACTTCAGCCAATCCATCCCCAAGACAGCATCATATGCTCCCAGCTGGAGTACTCGCATTGGTGTTTCAAAAGTGTGACCCTGTGCCCACCAAGTCAGAATCGGGGCTTGAAACTTGGATTCCATAGCTTGACCATTTGAAACTATAACTTTCACTGATGGAATAGCAACCAAGTCCAATAAAGCGCGTTTGGCAAAGTTTTCATCCACACAGCTGTGACTATTGCCTGAATCCACGAGTGCTAACATGACCTAGCTGCCCACCAAAGCTCGGATGCGAATTGTTTCAGCATTATCAGCCCCAGAAACTTCATGAGCCAAGATCTGATAGCATTCCAAAGTTTCAAGTCCACTCAACAGCTCCAATGCTTGGACAACATCTTCTGTTAAAATTTCACCGTGCTCTCCCAGCTGGATTGTAAGTAGTTGCATAGGCTTTTTACACTGATGTTCCTTACTATATTTTTCTCCATAACGAAAACACAGCACTTTGGCACGATGATAATCTCTTAACTGACGTTCTCTTACAAAATCATCTGTGTTTTTCTTCTGCACTATAGTAACAGGGGAAACTATAGGAAGACCTGGCTGGTGATGTACAAAATGCTGAAATCTAGGTTTGGTTTTCTGTAATTCCGACTCTTCCTCCTGTATCTCGGCTAAAGCAACTGCCCGATTCACACTGGTGGGAGCTTGTAAACTAACTGTAGTGAGAACCCCATCCTTCTGACCAAACACAAAGTGAGAGATGAAAATTTTTGTGTTCAAGGAGGGATCCAGAGCAATCAGGTGATACACTGCGACCTCAAATGCAAAACAATACTCAGAAACTGAACCTGTCTAACGGAGTTGCAATAAACTATGCATCTGAGTTTCAAATTCCTCCTCACCAAATCTTGTACCACTGCTCCACCAAATTCTTCCCAAAGAAAAATCAGACGGTGGCGCTTGTATGCTTGCCACCATAACGCTACATGGCCTTCCAAGTACAAGGTTGCAGTTGATACCCACTGATGAGGTGAGACGTTGTACATCTCAAAGTATGTCAGTGCCATGTCTAGCCACATACGGGGATTTTCTCCACTGAATCTCGGGAAGTTATTCTTGGGTGGTTTGGCATGGTACTCACGGTCATTCTCCCGATTCGGTAGACACACCTGATGTTCCTCCGGCCGGCGCTCCTGGTGCCTTGTAGGAACGATGAATCATTTAGGCGGCTGAACTTGCTCGGGAACAACTCGTTCCGCCGACGAGGCAGGTGCCATGACGAACCCCACGCCAGTTGGCAGATCGGGTTCCTCCAACAGCG